CCGGAAATACTTTGCGTATTTTTATATTTTCTAGAGAAGGCTATTTATGTATGTATTTGTATTCTCGCGCGTATGTAGAGTTGTAGACGGCTATGGCAACACTGTATCTGCTATCAAGCTATGGCTATGCCGCTCTAGGTAAAGTGATTCAATTCGTTGACTCTTCTTTTAGAAAAAGAAGAGGGGGGGGGACGTTCTGTCCCCTGCTGTGAGTGCTGACAAATGTCTTGACTCTTTTTTTGGCTGGCATTCTTGGCGCTATCGAATTAAGCCCCAGCTGTGTGCTTCCACGTTGAAAGCACAAACCATGGAGGTTGTAAAATACACCGCAGTTGAAATTATGCGAATGCACTGCTCATTCACATTGATATAGATGAAATGTATATATATTATATTCATATGCATGTAGATTTTGATATGTGTATATATAGATGAGCTTATGAGCGTTGTGTGTCATGAGCATGTGTGTGTGCTTGTCTAGGCCTTCCTGAATCAATTTATCAAAGATATCGAATTTATTCGCAGGCAGCCACTTCGCACGACATTTAAATCGTTGCCTTACAAATTTGGTTGAATATGTAGTGATCATTCTTTGCCCACATTGGCCTGGCAGAATGTTCCTTCACATCCTCACCGTTCAGCTTGAACGATACTATATGGCTTTCTTGGATACCGTGGCGTTTGTTCAGCGTGTTCTTGAAATGGAATTGGTTTACTTGAAGTTGATATCAAATTCAGCGCTCGCATTTCGTTCTACTTCACTTTTTGTCACAATTATCATAGTAATATAGTCGCAATCACAATCTCGTTTCAACCAGTATAGACTGTACAATCATATATCAACTAGTGCAGCCGAAAACAGTAGTGGTATGAGTTTATTGTTGTTTTATGATACTTGACGCCCCCGAATATTTCAAGCGTTGTGGCTTGGCCTGAAACCCCTATCCTTCTGGACCATAGGTACACATGAGACTCGTGCGCTTAGATAGACGTATATGAACCGCGCTTTGCAACAATGATCTGGTGAAGATCTTGTGAAATCCAGACAATCCTGCTTATCGAGTACACTTGCATTTATAGCTCTTGCTTTAAGTTCTCCGGCTCCTCCTCTGCTTCGCCACCGTCCATCTCGACGTCTAATTCCCGCGCAGCCTTTAGAGCGCGATCTTCCTTCTGGCATAGTTCGATGGCCTTCTTGGCACGTACTTCCGAGTACACCATTGTGTATTTCTTAATCTGCAAGGTGACACAAAATGAGGCTTAGATACAGAACATGATTGGCATGGGTTGATGGTGCAGCCCTTCTAATTGTAAGCATATTGCGCACGCATCTAATCTATCTATGTAAAGGACTACACTGCAAAATACCACCATATTTTCATTTACAGATTCGTGTAAAATGCGATCTCGCGATAAAACATTGCTACAAAGAATTTACATCTGAAAATAGCTATACTGTACTAGCAAAATACAGGAATCTCCATAGAACATTACACTGACAAGACATGCAATATACAGAACGTAATCATGCGCATTAAGAAGCATATATTTGCACGCAGACCAATGATGGAGTACACTTAGAACACCATAGGCCACGTGCATATCCCCACTAAACAAATCGAACGCATACTATTTTTTTTAATAGGGCATTCGGAATCAAAGATACGCGACATACCTTCTCAGCATCCTCCATCTCCACCAACACGGTGCCCTCGACGACCGCTTTGCAAACTTCAGTTTCTGCAACAATCCACACACTCACGAATTCGAAGTCGAAAGAGTGATTGGGTAGAACGCGGAAGTTTTTAAAGTTGGTACTCTTCGGTAGAGGATGGAATCCCAGTTGTCTCATATACTTAGGAAGGTTCTCTGTAATCTGATCATTTCCTGTTGCGGACTTTGGGCCAAAGTTTACGACACCCTGTGGAGCGAAGAGTTCTGCCATACCCTTCCAGTTGCCCTCGGTGGCAGTGTTTAATAGTTGCTGATACACTTTCTGCAGATGCGAGCAAATAATGGTATTAGTTCAGCTTCGGAATGATTGAGAACCCGGCGATGCTTGACTGCAGAACAGTGATGTATTTACTCCATGTAGGCCATCAAGATTTACATTTAAGCAATCCATTGAGAACATCAGTCTTTGTTGAAACAGAAAAAAAACACTACACATTTATGAATATTCGTGTAAGGAGCCATGCATACGTCTGATCCGAATTTGCATCCATAGGCACCGCCTATATACATGACGAAACACTAGATCGAATACTGTACAGTTAGTCCATCCACACAAGCTATAAACAGTTTGATTCGCTTGCTGAGCTAGCTTTTTGACAATAACGATGCATTTCGTTCACGCGTCTAGAATTATAATAAAAAAAGTAAGAGCCATACGCAGATCTGCTTAGCAGATAATGGGCGATTTACGTACGAGAAAGATATTGTTATCGTCTATATGCGAATCCGTATAGTATAGAACGCTCAAAACGAACACGTGGAACAATAACTATGCATAACGGTACCAACATAATGGATTCTATTTTGCGCCGAAAAAAATGATATTGGAGTGGTCTTTCGAATAAATTTTACCTTGACTCCTTTCTCCAGGGTTCCTGAGTACTTCTTTGGTTGTTCCTGCTCGGCCTCGATCTCCTCGGGTGTGAGTATGAATGCCTTTTTATGCGAGTTCATGTCCGACATACTGCATGCTAAGTAGTATTCCGAGATCTGTGGAGACAATGGATAAATGAGCGAGATATTGAGGAACGCTCATTCTTAGAAAATTGGCAAACAAACCTATGATTTGATGCACTTCAGAAACCAATACACGCAGCTGTGTTTCCGTATCTATCTAGATTAAAACAGACCATTAAGCGCGGTGCACGCAAATATTATTGTAGATAGCAAAAACGAACTCACAAACATACAATCCGACGTACAAACGACATATGCCTGATAAAAAGAAAATAATCATCGATCAATATATATATATATATATATATATATCTATATAATATATATATATATAGTAGGNTATANATATATATATATAGTTGNTATATATATATATATATATATATATA